CGTTCAATATGGATAGCCAAAAGAAGCATTTGCGGCATGTTATGCTTCGTTGCTTTAAAAAAAGTGATAGGGCAAAGAACACTGCAAACGAGATTTGTACCGTTTACGGTGATGGTTCTACGACTATTAGGACAGTCCGCGATTGGTTTAACACGTTCGCGACGGGGTGTATCACCGGTGGTACATTCTTGTCTGTCCTATGGGACGGGATGAGCCGCCGGTGTCAATCTAATAAAAAGGTGATTATTGTAATTACCAAATTTATTTACATATTTATAAACATAAGAGAACTATTCCTTTTTAATTAATTAGGTTATTAATGAATTAGGTTAGAATACATGTACTGACGTTGGATTACTTCAAAAGTATTCCAACTAAATATTGAGATATATATAGAACATTACCTCAGAGCAAAAATATTATATAAGTTATTATAGAATGTTAATTTTGTTATACTTTTCGATCTACCAACAATAGTTGGGCGTAGCTTCGACAGAAACAAAAATATGTTTTTCTATTTCGATCGTTTTATGTTCTCAAAAGATACACAATGTTGAAACACGTAGCATATGATTTATTTCAAATCAGCGTCGTCAGATGGGGGAAAGTGTGAAAAACAGCCCCATCCCACGGCGGAGCCACTAAATACAGGCCCAATGCGAACGTGTCAATTGCTATAACGCGGCAATGGTTCGTGTACTACCGGGGGCTCAGCCCGCCCGATGGGATCGAGCACGAAAAACAAGCCCGCCCCACGGTGCGGCCAGTGAATTCAGGCCCCGTCGCGAACGTGTTCAGAGATTTAGAGCTGGCAATTATGATTTGGAAGATGAAAACCGCAGCGGCCGTCCAACAACGACAGACGCGGACCTTATCAAAGATATGCTCGCTGAAATCCCGCGATATAGTGTGCGCGAGATAGCGGATGCCGCTAACATACCCAGGACAACGGTACATACGCATTTAACCCTAGAAAGATAACCATATGACAACGTACGTAAAAGATAACCATACGCTTCAGAGGCGCATGCTTTTCTAAGGCGTCAATTTTATACTAACAATGGATATTTATTTAAGTTAATCTAGTTATTTTAAAGGTTTGGCATTATTGTAAAAATAAAATGCATTTATATAATATTTTTTTATATTTTAAGTAATTTTAAACTTAAATCACTAGACCTCTATGAAAAATTAACAAAAATCAACAGTCTTCGCAGGCGCCTCTGCGACGTAGGTTATCTTTCTCGGGTTAATCAAGATGGGATATGTGAATCGATTCGAAGTTCCACACTGTCAAATTTTCATCACGACAACGCAAAACCGCATGTTGCGTTGGTCGTAAGACAAAAATTATTGCAGTTTGATCGAGACGTTCTATCTCATCCTCTGTACTCCCCAGACATTGCTCCATCCGATTATTACTTGTTCTTCTCGTGAAAAAATTCTCTCCGTGAAAAACGGTTGAAATTCGTAAGCGAAATAAAAACGCACCTTGATCAATATTTTGCAAATAAGCCTCAACAATCTTGGAAAGACGGCATAATGAGGCTTCTTGAAAGATGGAAGAAGGTAATAGGGCAGAACGGTTCATATATATAACTCGACACAAATCAACTTTAAACAACAAATATCGCCTAACCATTTCGCATCAGAAAAAAAGGAAAGAACTTATGGGACACCCTAATATGTTCGATGCTCCATCAGTAAGTTAATTATACAAAATATGCTTTCTGGATGATCAGTTTTTATACCAAAATCGAGTGTATCTAATATAAATGTAACGCATATTGATGTTGGATCGATACCCTGACAAATATCCACGTTTAGGAAATACTGTAGAATAAATGTATATAATATTTTGTCAAAATTCAATGCTTCTACGAAACCATAATACGGGTAGAATTTCAATTATCCGACATGCTCTGTAACACACACTCCTGCAGTAAGGATTTATAGATGAAAAATAGTCTAAAAGATAATTTTTGAAGGTGTAGAGATATTCAGGGAATTTGTCTGTATCAGCTTCGTGTCAAAAAAGCTAGTTCATTGTTACGAAAGTCATAAGATATCATGTAAAATCCGACATAAATCATATGCTCCTAAAAATATAAAAATAGCGTCGTTACTCGTAGTCGCAAAATTGTCAGACTACCACGATTAACCACAAGATGATAACTTTGAAGATTTTCAATTCTGACATAGGTGGCGCCGCTGTATTAAACCCATTTAATCTAAATTTACCGTCATTGCACGTAGTGGCGAAACGCTCGAACTAGTAGACAATTTATCAACTGCAGATTTTTGAACCTATCGGTAAATTTGTTTGCGCGTTTTGTGTCTGAACAACACATTTCTGTGTTGCAGTCTTATGCAGTTCACTGGCTGACTATTCTATTGGGTTGGCAACTAAGTAATTGCCGATTTGTTCAATGAAGTAACAAATTTTTTTTTACTTGGAACGAAGTTTAATCTGTAATGTATTTTCCATTTTGTTCGATGACCTTTTGCCATCTCTCTGACAACTTGAAAATTCCACGCTCGTAGAAAGTCTGATCCTTTTCGGCCAAAAGACTGAGTTAAGTGAGATTTTACAGCGTCATCGTCGTTAAAAGTTTTACCACGAAGAGAGTTGTCCAGGGATCGAAATAAGTGATAATCCGATGGCGCGAGATCAGGGCTATATAGTGGGTGTAACATTAATTCCCATCCGATATCCATCAATTTTTGCCGAGTGGACAAAGACGTGTTCGGCCTAGTGGAAAATGACACCTTTACGATTGACCAATTCTGGTCGCTTTTCCTTGACCGCTGCGTTCAATTTGTCCAGTTGCTAACATTCGCGGATAATAAAAAATAACAATAATAATAATAATTTTATAATATAACATTTACGGATATCATAAAAATGGGAGCGAGAGACATCTATAACTGAAATCGGCAATTACTTAGTTGCCAACCGAATATTTAGGCGAAAGAACCTCTCATTTTCAATGCTGTCGGTATTTCAGAACATGTGGCACGGAAACCCATATGCTGTGCACTATCTACTCTGGTGTTTAGTCTGTGGTTTTGCCACTACGAGTAATGGCACTGCTTTTATATTTTCAGGAACATGGGTACCCCAAAGAGGATGCTCTTTTACATCTTACGGCAAAAACGGTAAGACTCACCTATTCTGGATATTTCGAATAATAAACAAATTATTTTTACACGATATAGAGGCATTTCTATACCCTCAAAATATTCTTTAGCCTATCGTTCTATGGGTAAGGCATGATAAATCAAGTCTCAGAGAAATATATAAACTAAAAAAAAGAATTGAAATCAAGCACAGTGTATTGCAGTAAACCTTGCTTGAAATATTCTCTCCAGCGTGTTCGTTTCTTCGTCGTACAAGTAAAGCTTCGCATCGTCCCCAGTGGTGACGAATTTCGGCAAATGAGAATGATAAGACAAGCCAAGCGTCTGCCTCTTCTCCCGTATTGTGTAGATGCATTGGGAAGTCGGATAATGCCAACATTTCACGCACCCGTTAGCATCTAAAATTGTTAAAAGTGCAAACTTCGTTGAAGTTCTCGCAATTTGCCTGCATTTAGAAGTTTGCTTCGTTAAATGCTAATTTACTGAAACTTCTTTGTACTAATTCTGTGTCGACACACTGGACACGAGGCGAATGGTGAATTATGTCTTCAAATGTTATTAACAAATTGCAGTTATTGTTTTCTTGATCGGATTTATGAACAGGCCTATGCTAATTTACTGAAACTTCTTTATACTAATTTTGCGTCGACACACTGGACACGAGGCGAACGGTGAATTATGTTTTCAAATGTTACTAACAAGTTGCTGTTATTGTTTTCTTGATCGGATGCGATTTATGAACAGGCCTATGCTTGACCGCTGTTGTCGGACTCGGTTTTTGAATAATCTCGGTGTCCCGCAATGTCAACACATCTGCCTCGGAATTCAGTTTGTATAATTTCACTGTGCCGTCGGTCAATCCAGCTGCCAGGAAGTCACGGGCCTCCGTGTAACATATGCAGAGAACATCTTGATCGGTGTCTCTGAAACGACATTGCTACGTCGATCGAAGAATTCGGAAAATGAATTCGTAAGCATGTAGAATCTTAAATTTCTTTGGTAAAAAGTTATAGGTTAAATCAAATTAATTAGAAGAAAAGATTCGAAGAAAATGAAATTTATATATTTATATAGCATTTATATAGTATTTATATATTATAGTATTTATATAGTATTTATATATTATAGTATTTATATAGTATTTATATAGTATTTATATATTATAGTATTTATATAGTATTTATATATTATAGTATTTATATAGTATTTATATAGTATTTATATAGTATTTATATAGAATTTATATAGTATTTATATAGTATTTATATAGTATTTATATATAGTATTTATATATAGTATTTATACAGTATTTATATAGAATTTATATAGTATTTATATAGTATTTATATATTATAGTATTTATATAGTATTTATATAGTATTTATGTAGTATTTATATAGTATTCCACTCAAGTAAATTTTTGTTTGTCCGTTTTTGCCAGCTATTCTACTTGACGCTAGAAACACCAAGCGATCAAATTGACGGGATTTGATTTAGATTTAAAACATTACAAAAGCACTTATATTGAAATTTCAATGGACATTAATTACAGCACGCGTATAATTGCGTTCATGTATTGTATTCAATCATTTTGACCACTCTGGTAGTTCTAGGTAAACTAAATTTGCGTACAGCTGTCTGAGGATAGTCACATTGCCATCAGTTTGAACTCGATCGTGCGATGGTACGCCGACGTTGCTGTCTTGGCTGGAATTTAACAGGGGATCCATCGTTTACGGGAAACTCTTTTTCACCGATGCTATTGGCGGAAGGAGGGAAACCGGTTGAAATAATATTTCCGTTATCGAAGCATTTTAACTTTATAAATGAGAACGAAGAAAACAATATATAAATATACAATAAAAAAGAATTTATATGATCTATTTGTCTTATAAGTGTTACGTCATAAATCGAGTTGACTAAAGCTTTACCATACGTACCATTTCATATGAAATCCTGACTGGAGAAATTTTTATCTAACACTTTACCAGGTGACAAAGCAGTCATTCTAATGTATTATTGATTCAACGAATTTAAGGTTAACTACAATTTGTAAACGTAAAACTGACGATCGATACGGAATTAATATGTGCAGAATAGAGTAGCATAGAAATCGAGATAACTTCAGACTTCATTCCGACATTAGGAATTTATTTCATGACTACATGGTTACGATACAAGTTGTCATTCAAGGAATTCAATAAGGTATTTGAATATACACATACATATGTGTATATGTATATTCTTAAGATTAAAAATCTTGCAAGAAGAATTAGAAAATCGAAATTTGTACTGCTATTAGTTATGTATTATTTTCGATACATGAGCCGTTTATTTTGAAAGTGGCATAAGTCACTTCACCGTAATGAAAAGTGATGATTTTTTAATGTTTATACGAAATTATTTATACTGAGAAAAATATCAGTGTCCTGAGATAACAAATACAAGTGAATCTTCTCGAAAGTTAGCATCCATATTTTGAAACGTGTTAAAATGCAAACCCTTAAATATATCGACTTAAAAACAAAGTGACTTATGCCACTTTCAAAATAAACGGCTCATATAAGATCTTATAAGATCTCATATCTCTACGAGAATTTATCAGAGAGGATACGAGATCGGCCAGCCCAGCGTCCACGACCTGTTTTCGATGCATCCATTTATGCACAAACCAGGCCGCATAAATAACAAAGATCTCTGACACGTTTGATTCTACCTTAGCACAGTTTCGAACCCATGAGCTCCATAGTCCAGAACCCATCTAATTCGTCGATTATATAAAATGAAAATATGTTAATTACAACATAACATAAAATTAAGAAATCAAACACCCTTTAAAACGGTATAATTGTTTTAAAACTGGACTAAACAAGTTGAACTTTTTTTAGATGACAGAAGGGCTGACCTATCACACAATGACGATTATTTTTATTTTGCTGTTACTTGGAATAACAAAAAAAGAAAAAAAACTGATACTTTTTAAGTGTTTGTAATTGCAAATGTTGAAAGTACTGACAGGTATTGGTCAAAAGTGTAAGAAGTCGAGACAAAACTGCAATTTTCGCGATCTTTAATTGTTTGCAACTCATACAATGGCAATAAATTTTTCAGCATACATATGTTATCAAAATCTATGAAACGTATTTTTAAAAATTTTCATTACAGGCTCATCTAAAAAAAAAAATGATTTCGAAAATATTACTAAAATATTATTTATGTTTAACTCAGTTTTGAAAAAGTTATGCCGTTTTAAAGGATGTCAACATTCATTTGTGTCTGACCGTATATCCAATAATAACAAATTAATAACCTCGTAACGTGTCTTCCACAATCAAATCTGAGTACAAAAGCTTGTAACATATTATATCACCCCGTGTCTACGATTAATTTAATATTTGAAATATTGATTATTTGGAAATGTATTCGTGCATAAGACTAGCCTATTACGAACGACTGCAATCCATGTTGCAGCTCTCTCTCTTCGGCAAGAACTTAACTAAAAATAAAAGTAAAGTATTTAATATTCAGAATATTTAATGTTTAGAATATTAATATTTAGAATGTAAATAACTGATATTATGCATTGCTGATAATAGAGAAAACCACAATTCGCTGCAATTTTCTTCTTCTATTTCTAAATCTTGTCATCAGGTGGCACAGCCATTCATTTTCTGGTGTTTACATAAATATTTTCTTAATTCATAATGTATTATATAATATGAAAAGTCGTTTAGAAATGTCTTAGAATTAAAATATGTAATAATCGCAACGTGTAAGGAAATTCGCAACGAATATTTTCTTATTATATAATAATTTTATCTTAATCCATACCTTCACATTAAAATTTTTAGTGTTACTAAACCACGGTTAAGCTATATTGTTATTTTGTTTCTCTACATTACATTAAATTGTTATTATCTTCCTTTTACATAAATATTTTCTTAATTCATAATGTATAATATGAAAAAGTCGTTTAAAAATGTCTTAGAATTAAAATATGTAATAATAGCAACGTGTAAGGAAATTCGTAACGAAAAAATATTTTCTTATTATATAATAATTTTATCTTAATCCATACCTTCACAGTAAAGTTTTTAGTGTTCCTAAACCACGGTTAAGCTATATTGTTATTTTATTTCTCTACATTACATTAAATTGTTATTATTTTCCTTTTATTTCTATCTGTAGTTTCGTAATACTGTCGTTCATTCGCTTTAGTATGTTTGCTGCTAATCTATCCCCAATCAATTTTCAAAGTGCCGGTTACACTACACTGGCATCGCGTTTACAACTAGAAAGCAAATACCGACGCGTCGGACCAAATTATTTCTATCACAAGCGCGTACGTCAAAGTGTTACTATAATTTCCGTTCTTTAATATGATTCCACAGTTGTGCAACGACAAGAAATCACAGAATCTGACATAAAGTCTGCTATAATTTAGACAACGTTAAGCACTGTAGTTGATTCGGATAATGACATATTTCTTCATATTTATTGGAAACATCAATTCTGCTGAAATGGATCGTTTATTATATTCTCTCCATTCATCCAATCGACGTTGATGCATCTCTATCCAAACATTCAACAGTCTGAAACAATGAAAAATATAAAGTAAAATGTCAAGTTAAACAAACGAACTTATTTTTATTTGAAGTTGAATGCATCGAAAATTAACAACTAAAATACCGTTGTGGTATTTTTTTGATATTTTCCTAAAAGCTCAAGCCAAAATACGTAATGTTTTAAAAAAACTTTCTGTTTAATCTAAAAAGTCTTGATATATTGAACATAACTTGTAAGAATTCAATTAATCGAAGATAAATAGTCGACAAATATTGCAAGTTCGCAAAGATTTTATAGCATTTCACGCAAAAGATTTAACAATAAATTCGTACATTCGGATAAATGATGGGTAATATTAGAAACAACATATGCGGCCTTTGTAATTCAACGCTTTAAATACCATATTTCTGCCTTGTAAAGCTTTATACATATTAACGACGTATTTACATATACTCGGTGTCCCAGATTTTTTCGGTCAAACGTTATCAGCATATTCTGCGAGCGGAAATAAGACGAAGTTTTTAATGTTTTACTAAAACGTTATAAGCAAAATACGAAATAACAAGAGACTGATTGGTAATATTCATCTGCATACGTCAGCTGCAATTCGAATTTTTTGAAAGTACAGCGTAAACGTCTACGAAAAATTGAACGAATAGCTTGGATAAGTAAATACAGATAAGATACCATTAACATATATTTCTACATCGAATGAAAATCAGTCCACTATTATTTCGGGTTTTTCTTATAATTGTTTAATAAAGCATTTTTGAGCCTATGTTTATGTGACATTTTTCTCCATTTTTTTCGTTTGGCCGAAAAAAACTGGGACACCCTCTATACCTACCACGTATGTTGATTCCGTAAATCACGTGGTCATTAATGATACCATAGCTAACGCGACCGCACTAAAACAAACCACAGATTAATACATTACGTTACCAGAATTTACGACATAAACTGTAGATTTAATACTGCGAAAATTCAACATATTCAGGTCGAATGACGCATTATGCTCCCTTTTCCGAAACGTACCTTTTCCTAAAAAATTGACCAAAATGAAATTTTCAAAGCATGTAGCAGTAGA